TAGATGAGGTGTGACTACAGGAAATGGATGGTAAGGAAATTAGACAGAACTTCTGCCCAGTCACCACTCTGAGGCTTGTAGGCAGAATACCCTGGCTGGGAGTGACCACAGGGAATTCTTTCCCAAAAATGCAGTTCAGCTGAGGCTGGACAACCAACTTCCAGGATGTCTGCAAGGCTACTGGGAAGCCACCAACCAGCCTGCTACGGAAACTTGATTAAAAAAATAAATGCTTCATTACATGTCCATTCTCCAAAGACTTCTGCCAACCATGGGGTAGGGATCAGAAAAAGAAAAAGAAACAACAATAACAACCACCAGCAGCAGCAGCAGTAGCAGCAGCAGTGCAAAAGCACACCAGAACTCAGAAGAGGTACTCCACCATCTCAAGTTTCCATTACTGCCTTCCCCTGTCAATGTGTAACATGATGCCAGAAGCAAAGGAGACATCTTTACCAGAATTTGCTCCTTCAACAAGAGGCAATGAGAGGTGAATTTGGAGTAAGATGCAGTAATTAATAACTGATATGTCAATTAAGTACAATGTTAGACATGACCAGTAAGTATTAGCATAGTCTCCAGAAAAATTACTGTAGGACTGAAGAGATAGCTCAGCATCTCATATTACCACATGGAAGACCAAACTTCTAACATGTAGACCCTCAGGGCACAAGCCACACCCAAATCATAGTAATCCTGCAGTAGTTAATGGCAAGAGACTGAGGCAGTCTCTTCCTCTTAGTCCTCTATCCTTTCTACTGTTTTCACATTAGACCCAATAAGAATTTCACCAGTAATTCTTTGCATCGTGTGTGTGTGTGTGTGTGTGTGTGTGTGTGTGTGTGTGTGTGTGTGTTTTGTTTGAGACAGGGCCTCATTAAGTAGCCTTGGCTGGTCCTGAATTCACAGGGATCTTCCTATCTCAGGTGCATGAGACCTCATGGTCAGCTCGTGACAATGCTTATATATAAAATTCACTCTAAAAGAACGAGGGTCGTGATGGGCTGTATGTCAAGAGGAAAGCTATAGATTCAGAAACAATTTGGGCTTTCATCCAGCTTTATTACTTACGTCCTGGAGTTTTAGTTTCTTATCAATAAGATTTAACTTACCCCACGAGATTTAACTGTACCCTAACAGTATTATAAAGATTATATCTACCAGGTCTTGCTACTAATCCACAGACACACACGGATCTGCAGCCACCATGAGGATCGTCCTCTTGTTCTCAGTCCTGGCTTTGTTCCAGAGCATCTTAGAACACTTATTGGAAAAGCAAGACAGTTTAGAAAGACACAACTTGGGTATCCACTGACTTTATCAAATGTAGAGAAGTTACTGGAACTGTTTTCCAGTGTGAATAAGTTGAAAGCTACTTTCTCCATGATGCTCCAGCACAACCCCATAATATCCACAAAACATGCTACAGAGGAAAAAGTATCACAAGTATTACTAATACGCTGTGTATAGGACATTGCACATACCAAATGCTCAATAAGTTATAGTTGCCCTTAGATGACACTTCCCATCCCTCAATCCAAATATACTAAAGTCGTGCTCTATGTGCCAGTAAAACCATACTGTATTTGAGAAACACAGTCTTGACGTGCTTTTACAACATGTTAATTCTTCAATGTTAAAGTTACAGAAACACCTACATACTGTTTAAAAATTCATCCTTACTGAATGAACAATTCCATAAGCAGAAGCCAACTCTACACGGATCAATTTTGTCTTCCCACCATTTCATCTGGATGCTAGAAATCAGTTTTTACATCTTTAGACACAATCTACCTCCTTTCAAACTGCTGAAAACAAAGGACTGTATCTTTAAAAAAAAACAAAAAACAAAAATAGAGTCCCGGACTACAACACAGTCCAAGTGGAGGCGCTGCTTCATCATCAGGCCTTCTGCACAGGTAATGAGAGGCCCCGAAGCTGCCAGGAGTGAGCACAAAATAACCGTGCCTCTCTACAAGGGACCATGTGCTTAAGTCTCTATGGTTTTCATGCACATGCTTTCCAATCTTTCTGAAGAAACTAAGAGAGAAAAGGAGGAGCTCCTACTACAACAACCAAAATGGAGGTAGGAAAGACCACTTAGACATTGGTTCCCTAAATTATTGAAGTTAGTTTCCTGCTGTCATTTGTTAGAACTGCCATAATAAAGTATTGAATATTGGGCAGCTCAAAGCAACAGGAATTTATTGTGTCAGTTCTAGAGGCCAGAAGTCCAAGCAGGCACCGGGAGAGCCACATTGTCTCTGAGAGCACTAAGAGTCCATTCCAGGTTTCTGCTGGTTTCTGCTAGTCCCTTGCTTTGTGGCCAGACATAATTTCAATCTTCATATGGCATTCTGTCTAGACACATGTCTGTCTTCACGTCCAAACTTACCTTTTATTTTAGGATACTTGTCACATTGGATTAGGGAACAGCTTAATAATTACCTCATCTTAAATTGATTACCTTTAAAGACCTCATTTCCAAATGTGACCTTTTTCGCAGGTAAGGGGGTGTTCTAAGAATTTGAAGGAGAAACAATTCAAGGTAACTAGCTCTGTTCCCTTCCTCCTTTTACCTTTGCTGCACATCTGGGTGCCCTACAACTCTTCATTCATCTGCTCCTTCATCCACTCAATGAACATTCTGTTACACATGTCAAGCTCTTAAGGGGTATTGATGGCATACAAAAATAAGACCTTGTCCTTGAGAAGTTTCACTCTGGAGGGACACAGAGACACTTTTATATAGTGGTAAGTATTGTTTCTTGAAGCAATATAGCTAGATATTGTGATAAAAACTTTTTATTAGTCTTTGTAACAGTGTCACAAGTGATGTATCAGACACACACTTATAGGGCTCCAGAAGGCACTATATTTGTACTAGAGGTAAAGATTATTTTCACAAATTAGGGAGCATTTTATTTGGGTCTGAAGGGGTATGAGGAGATATACTTTAGGTAGTTGGAAGATGATTGTAGTGAGTTGTAGATTCCCCAAAGAGCATTCCTCTCTCAGCGGAAAATCCAGCACATACAAAGAATAAGAAACAAATCATAGACTCCATGAGGGCTGGGGTTGTGCTGTTAGGTTTGTCTGCTATCTCTTTTGAACACACCTGCTTCGTTCAATACCTAATGGCTCTGCTGGCCCTAGTTACACAGGCCAGTGACACCAGGTATCCCTGAAGCCGAGAAAAGGAGTATCCAAAGCTCATTTTGAGGCTTCCTTGAGCTGCAAAATGAGTTAAAGGCCAGCCTAGACACTTAGTGATATCCTGTTTCCAAACATAAATAAATAAATAAACAATCCTGGATATGCACATAGGTGATGCTAGGGCTCAGGGATAAGGGAAGGAGAATCAAGAGCCATCTCCTGTTACACAGCAGTTTGAAGGTAAGCCAGGGCTACATGAGACCCTGTCTCAACAAAAAGGGTATGGTACATCTAAGGCATGGCCTGTAGGTTATTGCTAGAAAGTCTAGGAAAGGTGCACATGCAGCCCTGTGTTCTAGTTAGACTTCAATTGCTTTGATAAAATACCATGAGCACAAGCAACTTGAGCAGGAAGTAAGAAGTTTGTTGCCATTTACAGTTATTGTCCACCATGGAGAGAAGCCAGGGCAGAAATTCAAAGCAAAACCTGGAGATAGAGCTGAAGCAGAGGCCATGGAGGAAAGCCGTTTTGGTTCCCTGTGTCTTCCTCAGCCTGCTTTCTTGTACAACTTGCCTAGGGCTACCTGTCTAATGGTGGCACCACCCACACTGGCCGGGTCCTCCCACATCACTCAAGAATCGAGTGCCCAAACTTCCTACAGGCAACCTGATGGAGGCCTTTACTCAGTTGAGGTTTCTCTTCCCATATTAACTTCAACTGACAAAAACAAAACAACAAGACCCAAAACCCCCAAACCTAATCAAGCTACCTTCTAAACTACACTTTACGTAGTAGATTAGGGTTGATAAATTGACAATGTATCAGCAGTATTATGAAATGCTGAGTAGTACTGACTATCTGGTATTGAACCTGAATTCTCCAGAGCTTGGGCAAAGGTGTCCGCCCCAAACAGTAAATAGGCTAAGGGGTTGGTTTCTGCTCCTTCCACAGCATGAGACTCCGATTGACACCGGATTGAAGCTGGCGGTGACTCCTCTGACTGTGCCTCTTGCACAGCTCCACAGTACTCTCAGGGTACAAGGAACAGGCTTCAGACCTTCCACACAGCCCATAGGAAGAGCCCTGGACGCGCTCCCGTGCCCTGGCCCTTCTCTTACACCGCGAGAGCGCACGCGCACCATGCCCAGCAGAGCGCGCGCCCGCGAGCTCCCCGCAGCCCCGTGCTCATCCGGGTCCCCGCGAGCCTTAGCCAATGGAGGCGGCTCCCAGTACTGGGAGCAGGTCTATGTCTCCTCCCTCTCCCCACGGCCTGTGGCCCCCGCGAGCGGCCTGGGGCTGATGAGACCCCAAGAGGCTGCGAGCCCGGCTCCCACGGGAGGACTCAGGTCGCGAGCGCCCAGCGATCGCAACGGTCCCGAAGCACCCCAGGTCGCGGAACAGGCTGGGGTCCGACCCAGTGTAGTAAACACACCTCAGAAACGTGAGGTGCCGGTGGTCACGTGGGGTGGGTGCTGCCCAATGAGAAGCCGGGGGCGGGGCGGAGGCCGCTGACGCGGCGGAGTCACCCGGGCAGCCTCGGGACCGGTGACCGGCCGGCGAGCACCCAGCGGCCTGGAGCTCTAGCCCGCGCTCTCCGAGCTCGCTGCCCACTCCGGGGCACACAGGCCGCATCGCGTGGAGGCCGCGTGAGCTCGTCTCCATCCGTGGAGTACGCCTCGGGCGCGTCACGGTCTCCTCGCGGACCGCCTCGATTGGGCAGGGTTTCCGTGACGAGCCTCCCCGGGTTGCTGCGACCAGCTCGGGCCGTCGTGGCGGCTGGAGCCCCGCGCGCTCGCCTGCGCTCCGGGGGTCTCAGGCCCTGGAAGGTATGCGTGTCCTCCGGACGCTGGGCGCGGGCTCCTGAAGGACGTCGTGCGTGGATCCCGGCGCCTCGGCAGCCTCCATTCATCTGCCAGCTGCGCGCTCGCCGCCTCCGCGCCCCGCCTCGGCGTCGCCTCCTCCAGGCCCCTCTCTGCAGCCCTTTCCCCACTCCTCGGGTGAGGAGGTTCTCCTGGAAGCGCAGGTGTCGGTTATGAGCCCGGCTTCCCTCGCTTGAAGCTCTCGGTAGAGGAAGTCGGGGTGACCCGCCGCGCCCCGAACATGGGGGTGAACGCCGTGCATTGGTTCCGAAAGGGACTCCGGCTACACGACAACCCCGCCCTGAAGGAGTGCATCCAGGGCGCGGACACCATCCGCTGCGTCTACATCCTCGACCCCTGGTTCGCAGGCTCTTCCAACGTGGGCATCAACAGGTGGCGGTGAGTCCGAAGCACTTGGGAAATCGATCAGGGGGTACACGAATCGGGTGTCGATGCCTTAGTGACAGAGCTGAGATTTGGTTTTAGTCCAGGGACCGAATTGCCTACACCGTTGAAGAGTTGTAGTCAATATTAAATAGTACAGACTTAGTAGTAGAGAGTAGCAACGGCCCTGAAACACTTTAGCTTTCACCCGTAAGTTATGTGTCTGTGTTGATGGGAGCTGCTTCCCTGATTTGTGAGAAATAACGAGGAGAATTAACCACCCCCAGATCTTAATGGCCTTGATATTTTAGGCCTCCGAAAGGGTTGTAATCTTTAATGTTGATGTGTGTGTCTAGGTAACTCATAGCGTGGAGAAAAACCATTCATTTATTATAGCGGGCTCCGGATTTAGCTTTCTTCCCCCTTGAGGTTAGGGGAGGAAAAGCAAGGGAAAGAATTACCTGATTTTTCTTTGCTCAACTCTCTGTCAACTCCTCCTTGTGGTTGACAAGATAAAGCGCAGTTTTTCTTTCGAGGCAAAGTATAATCCTTCTAGGGAATCGCTTCTGGAAGAAATCCTCCTGACGTTTTATGAGCTGTACCTGGAAAAATAGGATAGATGATTGTGCAGCAGAATGAGATCAAAGCATTCGTTCAGCAGATATATTGATAGCTTATGTGCCAGCCATATCTTTGGATATGCGGGATAGAGTTGTGAACGAGAAGTCAGCCCTCTTCAGGCATATGTCCAAGAAAGAAAAATATGTATGTAGTCCTTTTGGAGATGAGAAGTGCTACAAAGAAAAGACGAAGTAAACAGGAACAGGGATGGGGACACAGTTTAAAATAATGTTAGTTCGCTGGGGACATAGCTCACTGGAAGACTTACCGCAGCAATGTGAGTGAGGTTCAATATTAGGAGCCATGGGGGAAATGTTGATTGATCTGAAAATAATGGAGAAAGCGATCGCAGATTTGAAGGCGTGATGGGATGCAGCTATCTAAGGGAAGGACATCCAGGAAAGGGTTCTGAGGTGAGAATGTGCTTGATCGTTGGAAGGAACGGCCAGCCAGGATGACTGGAGCAAAACGACTGGGGAAAGTCCCGGGTGATGAAGTCAGAGTTGTAACGGGGCCAGATGAATAGAGCTTTATACACAGTTACTAAGGTCTGTGATTTTACTCGAGGAAAGTGGAAATGATGACAGGATTATTAGTAGAGAAGTGACACGATCTAACTTAAGTTAGAGAAAAGGTTCTTTGGTTGGGATTCTGAGAACATGATGAATCCGGCTTTGAAGCTAACAAGCAGTGGAGAAACCGCTTAGGAGACGTTCATTTCCAGGTGCAAGCTTTGAGAACGGCTTGCATGGATGTGCTGGCAAGTTGGTTATGAGGTTGAGCCGAACAAAAAGAGCTATGTTACCATAGTCAAAAGGTGAAAACAGCCCACATGCCATCAGCTGGTTAATGAACTTCATGTTGTTGTATGTCTGTGCACCAGTTACTTGGCCATGAAGGAATGAAGTATTGATGAATGCTATAAAATGTGTAGGTGAACCATGAGAGCTTGCTGGCTGAGAGATGCTAGTCATAAAACTTCATACTATATGATTGTGCTTATTTGGACTATCCACAATGGGCACAGGGACAGAGAGTAGGTTAATGGTGAGTTAGTCCTGGGAAAACTGGGGGGTCAGGAGGGTATCCCTGTGGGCACAGAGATGGTTAGTGGTTAAAACTTCCTGGAAAGTTTTTGTCAGAACACCTCCATGAGTTGCTATTGTGAGCTTCAAGAAGTCTGCTTATCTCTTCAAGACTCAGCCCAAATATCACTTTTTTCTGTGGTACCTTCTTTATCTGGTCTAGGATGATAGCGACTTCTGAACTCTTACACCATTTGCTTGTCATTGCTTCTTATATTTTCTTAGGTTGTACAGCTTTTGTAAATGAATATTTGTTATCATAAGTTGGTTTGGGGTGCTGTAACAGAACACCTTAGATTGAGTAATTTACAAATAAAAGATGTATTTCAGTACTAGAGGCTGAAAAGTTTGGGGTCAAAGCACCTAACAAGGGCATTTTACTTCATAGATGCATGCTGTATATGTTCTTAGATTGTGAAGGAAATGAAGACTCTCACAGGTATGATCATGGGAGTGATCACACTGGTGAGGGTAGAGGTCTCCTAACTTGATTGTCCCACAATACCATCACATGGAGATTAGGTTTTATCATAAAAGTTTTGGGGAATGGAAATGCAGCATTCAGATCATAGCAGGTATAATATGTATTCTTCTCTGCTCTTCCTGTTATGTGGGAAGGTTCTATTCCTAGGAATTTGCAGCAGTGACTACAACAAGGTCTCTGCCATTGCGGATTTTCCATTCTTGTAGAAGACTCTGTGTGTGTGTGTGTGTGTGTGTGTGTGTGTTGTAATTGAGAGAAAAAACAGAGCGTGAAAACATAGACCTAAAGGAAATGAGGAGACAAACAAACTGTAGGATATGGGGAGAGGGTCTGCATTCTTTATTGCATATTAACTGCACAGTAGTCACCTGATAATATCAATTTAATTTTCCTAGAGTTTAAGAATGAGGCACTTATTTTATTTAAAACTTAGATACTGTTGTATACCTGAAAGTTATAACTGAGAACCTTGTTAAAACTTCATTAGCTAGGTGTGTGGTGTGTGCCTGTAATCCCAGCACTCGAGGATAAGAGAATCAGAAGCTCAGGGTCACCCTCAGCTGTATAGTGATTTTGAAGGCAGCCTGGACTATATTAAAGACTATCTCAGAAAACAAAATTTAAAAAAATTCAATGAATACATTACTTTTGTCATTTAAACTTTAACTACACAATTGAAGCCATCACGTATAAGACCTCTTAATCTACTAATATACTGAGTAGTTAGCACTAATCTACTAATGTCCCGAACTAAATGTATAAATGTGCCTGCATACTTACCCATTTTTCCTTCTAGTATATGATTTCAGTAAGAAACAGATAGGTCATCTTTGATACACTTTTCTAGTTTGATTATTTAACTTTTTATTCATATTTTTTAAATGTCTCTAATCTACAACTTTTGTTCTTTTAAATACTACAGTTGTTAGTTCTGTTCTTATTTTCCTAATAGGCAATTGGATTTTCTCTTTTTTGGGTCTAAGGTTTGCTGTTTTTCTATTTTTCTGGTCATTACTCGACACGATGATACACATCTGTAATCCTAGGACTCAGGAAGCTAAGGCAGGAGGATTGTTGAAAGTTAGAGGGCAACCTGTAGTCCATTAAAAGATGCTGTAGAAAGGAAGGAAGGAAGGAAGAAAGGAAGGAAGGAAGGAAGGAAAAGGAAAGAAAGAAGAGTGGGAGGAAGGGAGAGAGAATGGACAACCTCCTACAAAAATAATAAATAATAGTAATATTAAAAAGAGTACCTTTACAAAAAGCATGAGGTCCAGGGTCCACTTAGTTTCCTAGTTAGTTTGTTGAGTGACTTTTCCCAGAGAGATGTAAAGTAACGTCTACTGACATCTGAGGAAGGGCAATGAGAGAACAAGGAAAAGATTCCATCCAAATCCAGGCTCATAGAAAAGTTGAGTTCATATGCAGAGACAATGGTGTGTTGTATTCTTTGCCCAGGCTCTGTTCTCTAATAGTGTAGGGTGACGGGGATGTGAGATAGTAGGACTTCATCAGCTGTGAATATTCTTTAGGGGTGCAGCAGAGGACGCCTTAGTCTTTCCAGCAAGAAGAGTTTCAAGGTCTTCCAAAGCCCCGTCACCTACTTCTGCCCACCTTCCTCCTCCTCTTTCCTCTATGTGTCCAGCACTTCTGGAATTTCCTCCATTACTCTCAGCTCTGCCGTCTTGCTGTTAGAGTCTCATCTTCTTCTCGTGGTCACGGGAGTGTCTTGGGGAAGCTGATTTCTTGCAAATGTAATATGCAAACTCAAAAGTAATACATTTAAACAAAATTAAATTAAAACCAAACCAAAATTAAGATTAAAAACAAGATTAAAGGCGTGCACCACCACTGCCTGGTGGTAACTTTTTCTTAAAGACTGACACAGTGAGTATTTTAGGCTTTGTAAACCATGAGTATTTCATATTTTTATTTTATATTCATGAATATTTTCATATTCATATTTTTACACAACCCATTACAGATATAAAATGGCTTTCAGGCCATACAAAAGCAAACAGTGTGTATTCATCCTATGGACTGTGGCCTACAAATCCTTCTGTAGCTTATTCCTTATTTGAGTATTTTTGTCTTTGAATAGTGTTTGTTTTTATTTATCTGATTTATATTTGCTTTGCCTTTTTCCTTAAATGCTGCTTCCTCTTCCTGATCTTTCTTTTTTTTAAGGGTAGTAGGGGGTTTTCAGGATGCTATCCATATGCTGTATGGCTGAACTGCATCCCCAGCCCCCATTTTAATTTTCTGAGGTAGGATCTCAGAGTTGCTGAGGTTTGCCTTGAACTTTGAATCCTACTGCCTCAGCCTTCAAAGTAGCTGCAGTTTCAGGCCTGTGCTACCAGGTTCAGCTTGAATGACTCTTCTATAACATAGATGAAGAACCTGCTTTCAGTTCTTAACCTTTGATAACAAAATATGATCCTTTCACATTTATTGTTATTGCTGACTTTAGATTTTTACATTTGCATTATTTCTTCCATGTTTTTCTTTTTCCTCTTTATTTTTGTGTGAATTTTATTCTTTTTAGTAGATTGACAATTTTTTTCTTTTGTTTTACTAGGGGTTATTTTAAATTTCTAACAATATATTTGGACCTAATTTTATCTTCTTAACAATTAAGAATTAAGGAGTGTTTTTGAACCTAACAACACATTTTCTTTTGCATCTGCTGTCTCCAAATTTTAGTTCTATATTTTATTTCTAGAGTATTTTTCAGCAGTTAAATTAAACTTCTATGGCCACATTAGTCATAATTGTTTAGAATTGACTGAATTTTTAACTGTTTGATGACCATTATTTGTGTACCAGTTTTTGATATTTTGAGTCCCAGAAATTACCTTAAATTATTTATTTTCCTTTTCTCTGGATTTCTTTTTATTCTTTGCACACTGGGGTAGGCTATTCATTTGTTTGTTTTGAGATAGGGTCTCACTATATAGCCAGAGTGATGGTGTGGTAACCCTGCTGCCCTGGATATCTGAGTCCTGGATTATAGGTACACACTTTCCACCATTCTGGCTATTCCTTGGATTTTTAAATAGTCTTAAGATTTAGATAACATTAGGGCTTTTAAAATAATGACCTTTTTAAAAAGAAAATACTCTTTATAACAGAAACCAAGCAAATCAATATAGTACAAAGAGGCTTAAAAAAATCTATCAACTAGAAAGTACATCTTAAATATTGTGTAAATATTCAGATATTTCTTTCAAAAAATTTCAGATATCTCTGCACATTTAATGGTAGAAGTTTGAGTGGGAAATAAAGTTTGAATAGGGAAATACCTATGGGTTCATATTATATTTGCCATTTTAAAAAAAGGACTTAATACCAAGCATGGTGACACATGCCAGCTCCTGGGAGGTGGAGACAAGAAGATGGGGAGTTGCAGGTCATCCTTACTATATAGGAAGTTTGAGCCCAGCCTGAGCTGCATGAGACTTTCAAAAAGCAGGAGCTTCAGAAATGGCTCAGGAGTTAAAGTACTTGTTGCACAATCAGAGAGATCTGAGCTTAGATCTCCAGCTTCCTCACCACTCATGCATGGAGACAGGCGGATACTAAGAGATTAGCTCCAGCTTCAGTGAGAAAACCTATATTAAAAAATGAAGTGCTAGATGTGGTGGCATAAGCCTCTAATCTCAGCTCTAAGAGTCACAGGCAGGAGGAGCTCTGTGAGTTCATTGAGGCCAGCAGGTATACATAATAAAGAGAGCTCTATTAAATAAATAAGGAGATCTGAACGACACCTGGCCATGTACATGCATACATACAAGCATGAACACACCTGTACACCCCACACAGACACACACGTGGTGGGGGGAGAGGGAGACAGAGAAGAGGGAGAGAGAGGGGG